GCTGCTGTGGCTTCTGGCAAATTCATACCCGCCGGCAAGGCATCTCTCAAAACATAGTCCAGCTGATAAATGAGTTCGTCAAAAATTCCCTCAGCCATCATAACCAGAAAAGAAATGCATCGCCTCATGGTGAGGCGTACGGAAGTTACCAGCAACTTGCCCAAAGCCTTCGAAAAGCTTTGCCGCAGAAACACTCCCAGGAACAAAAAGATCAGCAAATACCTGCAGTATTTGTTTTGCAAAAAAGCCATCAAACTCCACCAAAGTCTCTCACGCACCCGTCTCCAGAGGCTTTTTCCCATCGGCACCAAGTCTTTGACTGGAGCCACAAGAGCACAAGGTTCAGGTTCCTTTTCAACTTCTCTCAGATCTTCCAGCAGAACAAAAGATTTATTTAGCATACTTTTGGAATTCAGGGTCACCAGAGTAACGCTTGGCCGCTTTTCGCAGCCTATCTGGCGCGACAGCATCGAATGTGGTTCCTGCCAAGGGGCCACTCTTGACCACGCATTTTCCAAATCTAGCTTGCAAGTTCTGCATACTGGCTACACCAGCTAACAACTACCTGGCCTGAACTGGAACCTTTCTTTGGCAAAATGGCTAACAAGTGTCGACACGATTCATGCAGGACATGTTCAAGGCAATGAGCTGCCAATTTTTTGAGTCTATTGGCGGTCTCTTCACTTAGGGAATTCATTATCTGAGTGGCCATGGCTTGTTGAATGTAATGCTCAAGGGACTTCTCTGCCGTCCAACGACCTAGGAAACGAAGAGTGGAGACTGGCACTCCGCATCCAAACAAATGTGTGGCACCACCTGGTCTCAAACTACCTGGTGTGAATCTACACGATTCAAGGCCTAATTCAAGCAATAACTGCTTAAACATTTTTGAGAACTGATGGGATGAACTGCTCCACACTGCATCTTTTTGATTCGACGTCTTGAGGCACGCGATCCAGGCAATCACGCTTGGATTCTTCAGTGCTACAAACTGCTGTGCACCAAATTGCCTGCGATTCTTAGGTGAGATGATTCTCACTGCTGCATGGCGCTGCCCCAAAGTAAAAGAATCGGGCAGTGCAAAGTCTTCCCAGCATAGTTTCATCAGTTCACCAGGCCTTAGCAAACATAGTAGTCCCAGGTCTAACAAAAGTCCGAACAAAAGCCAGAGTCTTCTCATCTTGAAACTTCCAGTGGTCTTTGCATGAGCTCTTGCCAAGCCAAGCATTAAGCTCCAAATCGGCACCGGCAACGGCGGTCGTAAATTGGAGATTCTCTTTTCTTCCCAGACCCTCATATTTTCCCAAGCCGTAGAAAGCTTCCCTCTGAGTCTGGGCACCAGGTGTTGCGCCCCCAGAAGAGCATGCTTCACGACCGATCGAGAAACGCCGTTGGGCTCATTGTGTCTTGCCAAAACGTATCTGGCAAGTTCTGTGTCCGCCAGCTTGGGTTTTTTCAAAACATCACGCAACTCAAAAAGACCATCCTGCCGGAAAAACGCTTGCAAGTCACTGAGGCCAGCCAGGAGTCGGCTGCGATATTCCTTTGAGAATCGGCTGAATCTGTGAAAAGCCTGATCCGCCTTGGAGCAAAGGCGACTCATTCCAGCCCCGCTAGCACTGGCTCCAGCTATTCATGGACCCCACTCACTACTGAAGCGTGGCGTTTAAAAAACTAAACAAAGCACGTGCAATGTAATGCAAACAAAATAATTATGATTCCTCTGAGTGTCAGTACCTGAAAATTGCCAGCAAATTGAAAAAACTGCGCTCTCTGCTTATCCTAAGATTTTTGCAGCTAGCTCTGCATACTTGTCACACAAAGGTCTAGGATATTGACCAGCTAGTTCAGACCGTCTCTTCCAACCCTGTTTTGTTTTCACTCCTCCCACAGCATGAACATGCGGCTGTGTGCAGTGGCAGCTGCGGGCTAAAGATGACAGGCCCGGCAAGCTCCCGACAAACCGGGGGTGCTTCTTACATGGTCCATATTTCCCCTGATTATCTTTTAACCGTAAACCATATGCACACTGATGCATGTCTGCTCCATGTACCTTTGAACTCTGCATGCATTTTCTCATGTTGGGCATCAACCAAACATAGGATGACCTGGGATTCTCAAGGGTCCACTTATTACCAGCTGTATCAGGAATTTTGATCAAAACCAAAGTGCGCCTAAGTAACTCGTTGCCGATTATCTCACGGTCTAGTGTGTTACTACCTTCAGGACATGCTTTTCTACGGGTACCCTTATTGGAGTGCTGTAAAATGGAGAAGGATCCACATGGTAACCCAAAGTGCCAAAGCTGATTGGGGGCTGCTGCTTCCACTTTTAGTTTTTCAAAAAACTGCTCATCCAAGACATCTTGGCTACCCCATTGTTTCGAGGCCTTCCTGATCTCCACAGGTTCCAGCACCTCAATTCCCGCTATCTTTTTGACGGCCTGCGATAGCCGTGCACATCCTGCAAAAATTTCTCTGAACTTAAGCTTTACGCGTGCCGGCTGTTGCGGCATGACATCGGGCGACTTCTCTGCAACAGATGTAGCTTGCGGTAAAATCGAATCGAGCACTGGGTCACTCTCCAACCTTTGTGCTTCTTGCTCTGAAAACTTTTGTTCACTTATGGGCCTGAAAATTTTAACCTTTTTTGCCTCATGTGATTGGAGCAACGTGTCATGATGGGTGATTTGAGACGGCTGCGGAATGGGTTTGTCTCGTGAAGGGTAGTCTGCTGGGTTACAATCGGTGCTTACCCATAAATTGGACAATGCAATGTTACCTGCTAGGCACCACGGCAAATGTGCTCTGAGTCTATGGTTCATGTGTTTTGAGCTACTGCGACCTTTTGCGTATGCACCAACCACTACCCGAGAATCACAAAGATTAACCACTCTGCATGAACCTCTACCCGAATTCACCCTATCCTTAACTTCCTGGTGCACCATTTCAAGCTCTAGCAAGTTTATGTGCTCTTTCTTCGGAAAGCTGCAGGACTGCGTGGCAGTCCAACTATGTTGCATGAGAGAATCAACTAGGGCCGAGGGCGCAGGCTCCATTACGGTGGGCGGCTCTATAGCATGAGAATCCCAATCCATTCTAGTATATTCACCTCTTTTTTCAGAGAACCTATACAACACCTTGGCAAAGCTCTGGGTGGTCAAACAAGCCGCCCTCCCACCTTTGCGAGAACTTGCGTCCGAAGCTGAAATCTGCACCGATACTGGCCAACGGATGTTACATCCTGAAAAGGGCAGAAGGAGTGCTGCTGTGACAAGTTCATCAACAATGTGTTGAGGTATTCGGTATAGCTGACCATCCTCTAATCTATCAAGGTATTTGTACACATGGTGAAAAATGGCCATACACTGGCGTCTGTGCATGAAAGGATGAACATACAATCCAATGAGTTTCTGCAAAGCTTTCTTAGTTACCTCACCATGACTTAGCAGCGAAGTGGTTAGAGTCTCAATCTGCCTCAACTTTTCCGCCGGCGTTGAGACCCAGCCTGTTTCTGAGTCCACTGCAGTCCCCCAAGCCTTAAACGAGTACTGTTTGTCAAAAGCCTTTTTTGCCGATCTGGGTAAATTTAGTTTGTCATACTGCTTACGTGACGAATCCATTATTAGCTCATCCCCCTGCTTACCCCGACATCTTTTCTTTTTGTGGTCAAGAACTTGGAAAGCCAAATGATCATCAATGTACAAACCCTCAAGTGTATTACTACAGGGAAACATCTTACCATAAACCAAGGTTTGATCGAGCCGAAGACATCCAACTTCACGCAAGATGGCCTCATGAGTGGCCTGTGCAAGATCAACCCCCGTTGGTGTCACCCATGCAGACTACCTTAAAGGCTGGATAATAAAGCTCATTAGGCTTGAGGTCCAAACCTGGCATCTGGCGTCCACGAATTGCATCGCCAAAACAATTGCGAGGCTGCCACTGGTCCAAATGCTTGATGAGATAGAAGTAGTTAGACAAATCATCACCACTAGCGCGAACACTCTCACAACGCCTTAGAATGAGTTGCGGGCAGCTGACACCAGCCAAGACGCTGTTCCCTGGCATTCAGGGGTCGCCTATCGTTTATCAACCGATCAGATTCTGGTTTTTGGGGGACACAAAACAAACCACCCTTTACCAACTGATTTCCATCTTTCAAGACCTGACTTTTTGGGAGAAAGGTGATCATATCAGCGTCATAGAGTTTTTTCAACAACACAGGCCAATTCTTAGGACTCACCTTATGACATGCGGGATCAGATCTATTCTTTGAAAATTCAAGTGGAGTATGAGTAGGCATGTTTAAAAAGTCTTGCAGTCTCTGACCGGTCAAATGATTTTTTGGATCCACCACTCCAGCTTTCTCTGGCAGCGAGATGCGAGCTGGATCGACTTCCATGGCACCGCAAAGAGCATCATCTAATTTTATTGAGGAATCATACTGGCTTATCTTAATTCGACTAATTAGTTCATTGAGCTTAGCAGGGCCGCGATCCATGGTCCCCCTAGGATGGGCACAATACTTAAGCACGGTTGCAAACACTGTTCTGGCATAGGTTTCATGCTGAATAGTCCACTCCCTAGTCGAAGCATCTATCACAGATTGCTGCATGGCTTGGGATCTACTGGGTGAGCCCGCGTCCAAAAAATTGAAAAGGGCCCATATCCTATGCATCCATTGATAAGCCTCCCACCTAGCAATGCTATGGGGGCCTCGCCTATTTCGGGACTTTCCAGGTGGGGTCAACCAAGGAAGCCTAGACGGGAACAGTGTGAAATGCCCAGTCTGGTGACTGGGTGCTGACGGCCCGGCGCCATCCACTGGCGCCCTAGTATGGATCTTCCAGTACCTAGCAAATGATCCATGAGATTTATTAATTATTGCAAAAAGGCCACCTACATCTTTACACGACAGGCGGCAGGGCGAACAGGCTTCGCTGCTCAACTCTCGGGCTTGTCTTCGTCCTTGGCTTTTTTGCCTTTGGTCTTTCCTTTTCATTTTTGACTCATATTGCTGCCGGTGTCGTCCTCGAAGCGATTGAAGGTCTTGCTCTTCTTTTCCAAATCGCTCATGGCCTTCACGTAGCTTGCGACCACTTCGAGCTGCTGCGCTTCTCCCCCGAAACGGGGTTTGTCCAGAGGGTCGGGCAGATCTAACAGCAACCATGCTGTCCGCCAACTTCCACCGTCCAAACTGGCCTGATGGATGGCCCGCAACAGTTGAGTGATCTGCAATCCCACCAAACTCAGCTTTCCTTTCAGCACTGTCTGGAGAACATCGCTCAGGGCAAAGTGCAGGCGATGTAGTGTATGATTCTTTCCCCAGGACAGCCGCCTGGTGTAGTCCGTGAGCGTGTATGCCCCCTCGGCGCCTACACCCAAGACCTCTTCCACCTCCTTGATGTATCTTCGGATGTGCTTTTCGGGCTGCCTGCGCATGCGTCTCTTGTTCTTTCTGTAGGCTCTCAGCGCCTTCCCAGCTCCTTTCAACTTCTCGTCTCCTCCAGATGAAGTCTCGAGGCTGCTGTCGCTGTCTTCGGAACGATCTTCCAGCATAGTTTTCGACTTTGCTTTGCGCCCTCTCAGTTCTTTTAGCAGTTCCATCTGAATCAAAGCATTCATCTGCATTGGATCCACCACGGGCTCTGCTGAACTGGCACTTTGCATCATCCAAGCCAACGGGTCGCTTGCAGAGAGATTCTTCGCCTTCTCCCCCGTTCTCGCAAGCAGCGGGTATCGGCTCTTTGTTTTTGACAAACCCTTTTTTGACTTGTCTTTGCCAGTAACCATTCCTGTTTCTGACTTTGACGCACGCTTGAGCATCTTGAGCACATGATCTGCATCGCTCTCTTCCGATTCTTCTTCTTCCGAATCGGAAGACACCAGCTTTTGTCGATGAGCCGGAGGCTTCGGAAACATTGTCCCTCCTGCATCGGAGAGGTCCTCTGATGCTGTGGCATATTGAATGTTGTCGTCCTTCAAGGTTTCCAAGGCACTGCTCAAAACCAGCGCATGGTCCACTTCTAGCGAACGATGTGCCTGAGTGCATGCTGGACGCAATCTGTCCAAACTGCCCTCCACCAGGATGAATGTCTCACCTCCAACGGAAAACGATGTCAATAGGCCAGCCTTGGTATCTGCTTCGTTTGCTGTCACACGAACGCCCAGCCGCAAAGAACCGTTTTTCTTTCCAGCTACGACAACCGCTTGTCTCCAAGAAGGATTGAACCCTTCCAGTCTTAGGTAAACACAATCACCAACATTCATTTCCAGAAAAACACTCGATCAGCAAATTCAGTGGACACACGCCACCGGGATGCTTGCTCCAGAAAAATTGCACGCCCTGCAACCAGCGTGTCACACCTCTGAAAACGCAGCCCCCTAAACTGATCTTCGTTGCTTTCTAAAATCCCACGATATCCTCTGTTGCCGCAACCGCAATGCAACCCAGCAATGTCAGTTGGACTACTGGCGTTTCTAAGAGTACGCCACACTACGTAGAATCGAATGTCAATGAAAGATGTTTGTCGAGCACACCGCTCTGTTCCGGTAGATATTGCAAAGAGATGCCCACGTAAGGCCTCCAGGCCAAGGCCGCCTCAGGCTATTGCAAAGAGATGCCCACGTAAGGCCTCCAGGCCAAGGCCGCCTCAGGTAGCTGAAAGCACTCGGATGAGGAGTGGTAGCTATTGCAAAGAGATGCCCACGTAAGGCCTCCAGGCCAAGGCCGCCTCAGGTAGCTGAAAGCACTCGGATGAGGAGTGGTAGCTATTGCAAAGAGATGCCCACGTAAGGCCTCCAGGCCAAGGCCGCCTCAGATAGCTGAAAGCACTCGGATGAGGAGTGGTAGCTATTACAAAGAGATGCCCACGTAAGGCCTCCAATGGCTCAGCGGTGGGTTCGCACTTACAATTCTAAGCCCAAAAGATCTGCGGCCACATTGAGACATGAAAGGCCATATATGATTATATATATATATGATTATATATATATTATATATATATATGATTATATATATATATGATTATATATATATTATATATATATGATTATATATATATATTATATATATATGATTAAATATTATATATATATATGATTATATATATATATGAATATATATGTATATATATATCATTATATATCGATGATACTCGGGGTTTCATCAGAGTGCATTGTCGTCCCCCTCAATGATCCACTCCATTTGACACCTGTGCAGCTTCCCGTGGAAGGTCTAGGAATCAAGTCGTGTGTGCAGGGGTATCACCCTGCCTACCCGGTGGTGGGTGCTTCATGGGGTTTGTCTCAAAAGGCGGAAACCCATTTCATCCCACAATTCGAGACCAACCCCTCGGGGAAAATTATCGCTTTGGACCTATCCGAATCCCACCTATCTCCTTTTTTCTGTGTTGAGTTGAACATGTTGAACTGTCCATTTGTGTAGGTGAAACATGGTGAAACCGTGAAACCCCCGGTTCTGATCGTTTCTGTTGGTTAAGCCCGACCGGCACCAGGTGCCCAACTTGTTGTACGAGCGAAGCCTTTGAACAGACCTTCCTGGCAACACACAACGAACTCTCAACGAACACATTTCCACAAGTGGTGACTCGAGAAGTACTGAGGAGTACTGACTATTACTGTTACATCATGTTTTACATCAAAATTACATCTGCCATTTGAAATTGAACCTCATGACCCACAGTTTCAACAGTGAGCCAACCCGCCAGCGCAACCCTCCAATCATTATGATAAACGATCCCAAGTGAAGCCCCAAGTGAAGCACTAAGAATTCTAAGATTTCCAAAACTCAAAAAGGTTTGCACCACTTCGACATGTTCGAGTCGTTCGACCAATGCCAACCAGATCACCCCATGGATTCTGCTCTGCCTGCGGTGGCTCTAAGGCGTGGAAAGCCTGCCATGTGGAAGACATCAATGGTGCCAACCTAAACCTGTTCATCAAGAAATATCTACGGATATTTGATCATGAGATATGATATGAGAATCTCAAGGCTAGCTTGATGGATCTTTGCTGTTTATCCCAACAAGAGCAAAATGACTATCCCACAGTCCCAACATGTCCCAACACTAACATTCCACGAACAAATCCACCCCACCTCCCACAAGTTCATCACTTGGATCTCTGAAAGACCCACCACGACGCCACATTCGAAACCCGCCTGCGCGCAGCGCATTTGGACCCAAAGGTTTTTTGAAGAGATCCGGCGGCACAAGGTGCCCAAGGGAAGTTAGGAAGTAGGTAGGAAGCAGGTAGGAAGTAGGTAGGAAGTAGGTAGGAACTGCATGGAACGAAGTCTGATGGATTCTGCAGCTTTTCACGGGCTCACCTCGTAACGTAGCAGGCTGAGTCGATCTTGGACTCGCATGCACAAAGCCTCCCATACCATTTCTGCCAGTTCCCTCGGATCATCCACGATCCTGCCTCACAATTTTTGGTATTGTGAAGGAGGGTCTATAATTGATGCGTATAACTAGACCAAAAACAAGTACTATCAACTACTACATGGCCATATTGCTACAGTATACTATGGTGTAAGTTGATAGAAAATTGATATCAAAAAATGTTAATGTCTCTATCTTTATGTTAAAATCTTTCAATGTCTATCCTTTCGTCCATCCTTTCCTCCAGCCGCTCCTGAAAGCTCTGGAAGGTCAAAGCACCGTGGCGATTGACACCCACTGCCTGAGCCACGTCTGACACCGAGAAGATCCAAGAAGAGCAGCGGAGCAGCGGAGAGACCGAATAAGTCACAACGAGTTCAGATACGAGTTGAGTGCGAATACGTCGAATACGGGGTGAATACGTGGCGAATACGACGAATACATGTCGAAGAGACCGAGTTGTTTTTGAGTTGGCAAATTGATTCATTTTGATTCATTTTGATTCCTCTCGTGGACATCCTGAGTTGGCGAATGCGATGGATGTTTAGGCAGAACCTCAGCCAGGATGTTGGTGATGTCGTTCTGGTCCTTCGGTCCCAAACATTTCAAACCGTTTTCAGATATTCAAATGGACCTCCTACCCACGCTTCAAAACACAACCGTTTTGGCGGCATCTTCAGGTGGGGAAAGTAAGATAACAAACAATTGGATGCCACTGGGTGTTGCTTGCTTTGCCTTTCTGTTTGAGAAGGAAACAAACATTTCTGATCTGATTCCTGCTTGGGATGCCCGTCACTTGCCCACACAGCGCTGAAAGGTTCATCGACTGGAAGTCTGCCAAGCAACGGAAACGGTAGAATATCGAAACATCCTTGGCTGCATATTCTAAGCCTTTTATATACCCCCAAACATGGAACACATGGAACACAGGGCTTATTCTAAGCTTATTTGAGAAATCTCACATGTTCAAAAAATATGGTACTCACGCTGTCGATGCCCGTATTGCCTGTCCTCTCGGCGCACCGGGTTCAAGTGGAGTTGGGACAGCGCCTCGGCAAAAACATGGACTTCGTCAAATCGGCTGTAGACTGGTCGGATTGCCATGGATTGCCATGGATTGCCATTTGTAGATCTGGAGGATCTGTCCATTGCGGGTAACTTTAACCCATGATGAAAACCCAAGTAGACTTTGGTACCAATCTTCTTGTCACAGGTGCTCAGGAGCCTCTGCCTATGTGAGGAACGAATCGCAGAGAGTGAAAGCCAATATGAGTATCTTGATGCTTTCAGATCTAGTTTGATCTTTCACAGCACTCTCTGGCAAAGAACTAATGTTGCGGATATGTTGAAGTTGTTTTGACTGGGAATGTGCTTGGACCACTACTTTTTTGCGGGGAAAGCTACATCCGCCTCCAACTTAGTCTTAGTGGAAAGCCCCTCCGCAGCTAGAAGGATAATTTTTACCTTTCTGAGTTTAGATTGTGGAATTCTTCGTTCACGAATTTCTCAAGAGACTCCACCGACTGCATCCTGCCAAATCCTGCGAAATCCTGGTAAATCCCGCTACAACGCGCTGATGTGAGACCGCCATAAGTTTCAGACCTGCGCTGCCGCTGCCGGTGTGAGCGCGGGGGCACCACCTCTCTCAGACACTTGTGTCACCCCGCTCAGGATTTAGGCGTCCGCAGAGACCCGCCTTTCGCCTGATGGTTTAGCAAATTATTTTTTTTTGCTCATTGCTAAACCATTCAATGCCAACTCAGCAGTCCCTCTCAGGATTTAGGCGTCTACGGCGGCCGTGGGCAAAGACGCTTTCCAATTCCTGGCGACGCCAAAGGCTGGCGGCTTCAAAATGTGACTATTGACCCACAAACCTTGATCCCACTGTTTTATGAAGCATCCCCCTTTTTTGATGCTGTCTTTAGGCTCCAAATTTGACCCACTCAAATAGTTCCCACTTTCCGGAGGTCTTCACGAGCAACCCCATCGAGAAACAAACACGCCCCCCTAATTTTGCAAAGGACGCCAGTACAATCCAATCCATCAATCCAATTATGAGCCTCGCTGGGCAAAGCACATGGCTGTTTCTTTGGACTAAGGTTGGAGTCCACAAAAAATAACAAAAGAATCATTGGGTTTTGCCTCGTCCTAAGGCGTTTCGCTGATGTGTACTCCAACTTGATGGTAACTATAGCTTTGCCTTCGCCTTTGGCGTAGGGAGGGATTTCGGTCAAAGTTGCTAAGCACCAACCGTGTGCATTGTGCACAGGGTGCTAGCGTCGCAAGCAATCCTCTGGCTCTCAAGCTTGTTTCACCTGTGCTGGTGAATTTGGTGTCTGCTGTGGATAGGGCTGGTGTGCATTGCTGCACTTTCTTGCGCAAGTAGGCCACCAAAATATTGATTGAAGACAAGTGGAAGTCGGATGTGCACAGTGCTATGAAGATAGTACTTTACCATGAGCCTGCCCATCTCAAACTGCAAGCTCCCAGCATTTTTGATTGGTGCCTCAAATTGTGCCCTCCAAAGTTCAAATGCCCATCCACTCATCGAAGCCTCAAATTCTGCCAGTTTCTCATCGTGCTCAAACCTTGGAATGGTGCGCCAGGTTTTGGATGCATTATGAATGGACCAATGGCTGGTCATCTTGAATCTACCATCGAGTTTGGGCCATCAATTGTTCTTACCCACTACCAACATTCACCCGACATTCACAAACATTGCCCCTGGAAAGACCTGCAGGTTACCTGCCATGACCCTTGAAATTTCAGGCAGGCTACTGATGGATCTGGCTCTTCCTGCTGTGTCTCCGATGTCACTGATGTCACGCACAAAACAAAGCCATGAAACGAGGAAAGTGGAAAAACAACTGGATTAAGAATTTATCAAGTATTCAACACATTTCAACACACCCACTTGATTCGAATTGATCCCAATTGATCCCATGCTAGTCATCTGTGGGATGGATGGCAACATGCCGACGCAGAGTCGTTGCCTTCTTCTCGGCCAGTTCCTGTCTTGCGCGCAACTCGTCGTGCAGCTCTTCCAGTTCTTCTTCTTTCTCCTCCCGCATCGCAAGATGTGATACTTGACGGGAACATTTGCCGGAAACTGCATTCATACGACCAGTCTGGATAGTATTTGCTCCTGATCTCTTGTTCTCTGCCTTGAACCAAACCGGTCTCTGTTCCTCAAAAGAATCCAAAACTAATTTGGTGGTGAGTCGGGCTTCAAATTCCCTTCTTTCCGAGATGTTTGACCTTTTGACCTATCTTACGATAAATGGATATACCCTCGGTAATCAAACACCATGGGACATTCACCATTTATAGATGATTTGCCCAGCTACAAACCTCCATTTTGATCGAGGATCTTCAAATCTCATTTATATGGTGACACCGCCGTGGAGAAATCCCGAGAAATCCCGGTGGAGCTGAGAATCTCCTCGGCTGCCTGCAGAAGATACACGGCGTGTCCGATCCGTGCGAAACGCCAGAAACGGCCGATGATGAGCAAAGCTGCCCTGGGCAAAAATGAAACATGCTCCCAAGATATCCCAACCTAACGACATACATACAAGTTATATATATAATATTGGCCTATCACATCATGCATGCATATGTATACATATATATATATACGTATATATTGGAATATCGATTATGTGTATATACAATATATACATATTACAATCTCATTCAATATCATAATATCCAATCACTCTCATTACTTGACATTAACTCTCTTAGTTGCTTCTCAGGGAAGATGCAGGTCTTGTTGCAGAACAAAATGAGTTCTGCCAAACTGTTGAGGTCAACGGTAGAAAAGTCAATCAAAGAGTAGAACCTAACGATTCCACCCGCATGTCCCAGATCCACCCATGAAAAAACATGTCAAATGTGACATCCCACAGTCAAACGAAACACCTATCTACTTGTAGAAACTTGTACCCTGCAAGCAGCTTCCTATCACCATGTCGTACCATTCATCCTCACATCCTCAAGGAAGGGCGCAATCAAATGTTGTCAGAAACATCTGGGACTTGACAGCAAATCTAAAGAGTAGAGATGTAGGAATTCGAAGGATCAAGATCTGGCCCAAATCCACAAATCAGCACAGTTGCCTATGGTAAGCCGTGCTAGTGGCAAAAGCCAATGTCGGGCCATTTCGAGCCAGCCATGTTGGTCATGTTACATCATGTTACATCATGTTGACCAAATGATCATCCCTTTGCCATCAGATGCCATCAGATGCCATCAGATGCCATCAGATGCCATCAGGGTCCATACGAGTCTCATCCAGTGCCGAGGAACACCGGTGAACCGCCGCGGTAAAGACTCGAGGCTGTCCCCAAGGATGCGGTGGTGTTTACGTCTGTGTCATCTTTGTCGTCTTGGCCGCTCGCTTCCCGCACACGCAAGAAAAAAAAACTTACCCTGTGATCAGGATCCTTACTTGGGTTCCAGTAGAACTTATGACCGTTGGGTTTCGAGACTGGTACGCTGTCAACGCTGTCAGGAATCACCAAAACAGTCACTATGCAATATGTCAAAGTGCAATCCTTTGCGACCAAGTGACGATGGACTATATCCAAGATTTCAGTGGCCATAGACACCAAAACCACGAAGAGATCAAACGGAAAGTAGATGATTTTGAAGTAACCTCTTGATTGCAAAAGTTGCAAAAAAACACACGCATGTTCAGCCCATTTTCCAGAGACCGATAATGCCAATACTGTTTCATTCCAAGTGGCTGAGATGAAAAGCGAACATAAACATGATATTCTCCACCAGAAAGATGACGAGGATGGAAATGCTAGCGATGGTGAAGATGTGATCAATCCCTTCAAGCACAACGGCGGTTTTATGTTCTGGATTTTCCTCGATGCATTCTTTCGCTTCATCGACAGTCAGAAAGGTGTGCCTAGCACCACAACATCGCATCAACATCACAACAGACTCAGCAACAATGTGCAGACGATTTCAACAAAGCCTGAGATTTTGGATCTACAAGCAGTTTATCATAGTTAATCGCTTGCAAAATTTACAATGGAATTTAATCTGACACAGTTCAAGCGTGACAGCAGACTACAACTACGCAATGCAGTAGAATTAGAGTCTTACTCAATGAGACGAAGGGCCACAACAAGAACATGTATTTCGGAACAAAACCCAAGACATGCACAGACAAGAGCAACAAACATCTGAAATCTAATGCTGCAGATCAACAGCAGCCTCCTAGATGACACGCGTGGTGGCACAATCATCAACTGTTTCCACAAACTATGATGAAGAACAGGCCTGATAGATGCAGATTCAATTCACAACGGAAAAGGAAAATACAAAGGAAGAGGCAAAAGTCAAGAAAAGAAGGTGGAGTGCAACAGCTACAAGGCACAAGGAAAGCAAGAAGGAAAGCACAATGCTCAGCCAATTGGACAATACCATCCATCTGCAAGAAAAGGATGAAAAGGAAGACAAGGGAGGATGAAGGGCAAGCAAGTGACACGCGTTTGGTTTCTGGAAAACGGGGTATTTTAAAAAAAATCCACAATCTATATAAGAATGCACAGTGTTGAGTATGGTTTCGCACACTTTGTCGAGATTGTTTGCAGTTTCCAGTTTACCAGTGTTTCAAGCTAGGAAAACAAATTTGATTCAAGGACAGTGATGACAGTCAGAAAAAAGTAACCAAAATGCCCCTGGGACCAACAATAACAGCGAACCCTGCGGGCTAAGAGTATATGTATATGTGCATCTGCAGAATGTATATAATATACAACTACTAGTGCCCATACAATGTGAAATAATACATATATATATATACAATATACAATATCCAATATACAAATATTTTTTGCAATGGTATACAAATATTGAGTCTACAATGGATATGGCGATAGGCAAATACATGCACGAGTTCAACATTTCATGAATCAAAACTCAAATACTACACAATTTGTACCAGTAGTACCGCACAAGGCGGTGGCGGAAGTTTCAAAAATAGGAAACCTATACAAGAGATTAGTTGTTGTGAATCAGGGATGGCAGAGCGAATCCACTGATGGACCGAAAGGTGCTTGAGGTCTCCTCTCTTTCTCTCTCTTTCTCTGACTATCTACCTACCTACCTACTTATCTATCTATGTATCTATCTATCTATCTATCTGTCTATCTATCTATCTTTCTATCTATCTATCTATGTATCTATCTATCTATCTATCTATGTATCTACGTATCTATCTATCCATCTATCAATCTATCTATCTGTCTATCCATCTATCTATCTATCTACCTGTCTGTCTAGCCATATAATTATATCTATCTATCTCTCCGACTCTCTATCAACCGAACTGTCTCTCTATCTATCTGTCTATCTATCTATGTATCTATCTATCTATTTATCTATCTATCTTGGTATCTAACTATCTGTCTATGTGTCCATCTATCTATCTGTCTGTCTATCTATCTATCTATCCATCTATCTATCTATCTATCTATCTATTTTTCTATCGATGTATCTATCTATCTATCTATTTATCTATCTCTCTCTCTCTCTCTCTCCCTCTCTCTCTCTTTCATCTGTCTATCTGTCTAGCTGTCTACCTGTCTATCTGTCTATCTGTCTATCTATCTATCGGTCTATCTGTCTGTGGTGCAGTGTCATTCAGTGTAAGGTAGTGTAGTGTAATGTAGTATAGTGTAGTGTAGTGTACTTTAGTGTAGTGGAGCGTAGTGGAGTGTAGTGGAGTGTAGTTGTGTAGTTATAGTTGTAGCGTTGTGCAGTGTAGTGTAGTGTAATGTAGTGCACGCCAGAAAGCTCTTGCTGTCAGTAAGAAGTCTCTTAGAAAAAAACCATTGGGCGCAGAAACTTTTGCACACAGAAGCTTGAGACACAGATGCATTTACACCGAAAAGCCTTTACAAAATACTTTGTACTACAAAGCTTGCACAAAGCACTTCCCAGTATTACTTTGTACTACAAAGCTTGCACAAAGCACTTCCCATCACTACTTTGTACTACAAAGCTTGGCACAAAGCACTTCCCAGTACTACTTTGTACTACAAAGCTTGCACCCCGTCCTACAAAGCTTGCACAAAGCACTTCCCAGCACTACTTTGCACTACGAAGCTTGCACAAAGCACTCCCCAGCACTACTTTGTACTACAAAGCTTGCACAAAGCACTTCCCAGTACTACTTTGTACCAGCTTGCACGAAGCACTTCCCATCACTACGTTGTACTACACAGCTGGCACAAAGCACTTCCCAGTACTACTTTGTACTACAAAGCTTGCACAAAGCACTTCCCAGCACTACTTTGTACTACGAAGCTTGCACAAAGTACCCTCCAGTACTACTTTGCACTACAAAGCTTGCACAAAGCGCTTCCCAGTACTCCTTTGTACTCCAAAGCTTGCACAAAGCACTTCCCAGTACTACTTCGTACCACAAGGCCTGGCACAAGCACTTCCCAGTACTACTATGTACTACGAAGCTTACACAAAGCACTTCCCAGCACTACTTTGTACTACAAAGCTGGCACAAAGCACTTCCCAGTACTACTTTGTACTACAAAGCTTGCACCCCGTCCTACTTTGTACTACAAAGCTTGCACAAAGCACTTCCCAGTACTACTTTGTACTACAAAGCTTACACAAAGCACTTCCCAGTACTACTTTGTACTGCAAAGCTTGCACACAGCACTTCCCAGTACTACTTTGTACTAGAAAGCTTGCACAAAGCACTTCCCAGTACTACTTCGTACCACAAAGCCTGGCACAAGCACTTCCCAGTACTACTATGTACTACGAAGCTTACACACAGCACTTCCCAGTACTACTTTGTACTACAAAGCTGGCACAAAGCACTTCCCAGTACTGCTTTGTACTACAAAGCTTGGCACAAAGCACTTCCCAGTACTACTTTGTACTGCAAAGCTGGCACAGAGCACTTCCCAGTACTACTTTGTACTACAAAGCTGGCACAAAGCACTTCCCAGTACTACTTTGTACTACAAAGCTTGCACAAAGCACTTCCCATCACTACTGTGGACGAGAAAGCTTGCATCCAGTACTACTGTGTACTACAAAGCTTGCACAAAGCACTTCCCAGCACTACTTTGTACTACAAAGCTTGCACAGAGCATTTTCCATCACTACTTTGGACAAGAAAGCTTGCACAAAGCTTTTACACACAGCAAGTTCTTTCGCAGAGAAGCTTTTACACACAGCAAGCTCTTTAAACAGAGAAACTTTTACACACAGAACCTTTTTAATCAGAGAAGTTTTTACACACAGAAGCTTTTACACCGAGAAACTTCTACACACAGAGAAGCTTTGACACACAGCAAGCTTTTACACACAAAATCTTTTACACGCAGCAAGCTGTTACAGAAGAAAGTTTTTACACAGAGAAACTTTCTTGTACGTAATGACAAAAGGAATTGCAGCTCCAAAACCAGATGGACCTAGGCGCCAAAGCCAAAAAAAAACACGATTTTGAAGCACTTTTTTAAAGGAATTTTACAAGGAAAATCAGCAGCGCCCAAATTGAACTAGACGACGGATGGCCCGAGAGCGTAGAGGAGCAGGGTCTTCTGTTTTTAGTATTGAGACACTATATTACAAGGCAATATATTATAGATGTATTATAGGCAGATGAGAACCTAGTTACACACAGACGCCTTTACACATAGACGCTTTTACACGCAGACACTTTTACACGAATAGGCTTTTACACACAGACGCCTTTACACACAGAAACTTTTACACAGACACTTTTACACGCAAACACTTTTACATACAGACGCTCTTACACACAGACACTTTTACACACAGACGCTTTTACACACAGACACTTTTACACACAGACCCTTTTACACGCAAACACTTTTACATACAGACGCTTTTACACACAGACACTTTTACGCACAGACGCTTTTACACACAGACGCTTTCACACACAGACACTTTTACACACAGAAACTTTTACACACAGACGCTTTTACACACAGAAGCTTTTACACACCGACGCTTTTACACACAGACGCTTTTACACACTGACGCTTTTACACACAAACACTTTCACACACAGAGGCTTTTACACACAGAATCTTTCACACACAGAAGCTTTTACACACAAACACTTTCACACACAGAGACCGGACCCGTGAAATCGCAATTTTACCTCAGTTTTTGGCGATCGAACCTCATTTCGCGCGAAAGGGTTCGCCGGCACTTTTGCAAATCGCAATTTTTCCGCAGTTTTTGGCGATCGAACCTCATTTGGTGTGAAAGGGTTGCGATCGGACCCGTGAAATCGCAATTTTACCGCAGTTTTTGGCGATCGAACCTCACGCGACAAGGTTCGCCGGCACGTTTGCAAATCGCAGTTTTACCACAGATTTTGGCGATCGAACCTCATTTCGTTCGAAAGGGTTTCGCCCGGACCCGAGAAATCGCAATTTTACCTCAGTTTTTGCCTATCGAACCTCATTTCGTGCGAAAGGGTTGCGCCGGACGCTTTGCAAATCCCAATTTTGCAGTTTTTGGCGATCGAACCTCATTTCGTGCAAAAGTGTTGCACTCGGACAAGCGCAAATCAAAATCGCAATTTTACCTCAGTTTTTGGCGATCGAACCTCATTTCGTGCGAAAAGGTTGCGACGGGCAGCGAGAAATCGCAATTTTACTTCAGCTTTTGGCGATCGAACCTCATTTTGTGCGAAAGGGTTGCGCCCGGACCCGAGAAATCGCAATTTTACCTCAGTTTTTGGCGATCGAACTTCGTTTCGTGCGAAAGGGTTGTGTTTCGCGCCGTCTCGTTGGCACTGCCCCGCGCCTTCAAGAGAGAAAAAAAAGGAGAGAGCAAGAGGGCAAGAGAGCAAGAGGGCAAGAGAGAATGTGAAGATGTGAAGATGAGAAGATGTGAAGATGAGAAGATGTGAAGATGTGATGATGTGAAGATGAAGAGGGCAAGAGAGAATGTGAAGATGAGAAGATGAGAAGATGAGCAGATGTGAAGATGAGAAGATGTGAAGATGAGAAGATGTGAAGATTGTAAGATGTTATGTGAAGATGTGAATATGTGAAAATATTTGACAGACCCCCACTATTTGAACAACCCTTCGCTCAGACGCTCTCGGGAAAAATCTGCTGACAAATCTGCTGACAAATCACTGTCGCAGCCGTGATGCAGCCACTCCAATACTATTTACAAGACCCAGCTGCAAAAGACAATCGCATTACGCATGCAGCCGCGCAACCTTGACGCAGCCACTACAATGTGATCTGCAGACACTGAATTGCGAAACACAATAGAACTACGCGCAACGGCGTCGGAAATTGCAGCTCCAAAACCGGATGGATCTCGACGCCAAAGCGAAAAAAAGACGATTTTGAAGCACTTTTTAAAAGAACTTTTAAAAGGAAAATTATTAGCGCCAAAATTCAGAAAATCTGCTGACAAATCACTGTTGCAGCCTGGATATACTATTTACGAGATCCAGCTGCAAAAGACAATAGTATTACGCATGCAGCCGCGGCACCAAGCAACCTTGACGCAACCATTACAATGCGATCTGCAGAGACTGAATTGCAAAACACAATAGAATTACGCGCAACGGCGTCGGAAATTGCAGCTCCAAAACCGGATCTCGACGCCAAAGCGAAAAAGCCAATTTTGAAGCACTTTTTAAAAAGGACTTTTACAAGGAAAATTATTAGAGCCAAAATTCAGAAAATCTGCAGACAAATCACTGTCGCAGCCTTGATGCAGCCACATTCAGCCACTCCAATACTATTTACGAGATCCAGCTGCAAAAGAGAATAGTATTACGCATGCAGCCGCGGCGCCAAGCAACCTTGACGCAGCCATTACATTGCATTTCGCAGCATCACGTCGCAAACATGCACATATCTACGCACACGGCAACACCGGGTGACAACAATCATGCAGATATTCCAATGAGATCTGCAACCACAGATTCAAGACACGCATAGAACTACGCACACAGGAACAACCACTCGTTGCAGAACACAGAGGATGAACACATTCGCGGATGAAACGACCGCAGCCGCAACCGCCGCACACACGAGGTACCTTTCATCGCCGGCCGAAGCCACTTTACACGGAAAAACACAAGGTTTCGTGCTCCGGCTTCCCCAACACAAGCCTCATGCAACATTCATGCAGCCATTGCAATGCGTTTCGCAGCATCACGCCGCAAACATGCACGTATCTATGCACATGGCAACACCAGATGACAACAATCATGCAGCCGCTCCAATGCGATCTGCAACCACAGATTCAAGACACGCACAGAACTACGCATACAGGAACAACCACTCGTTGCAGAACACAGAGGAGGAACACATTCGCGGATGAAACGACCGCAGCCGCAACCACCGCACACACGAGGCACCTTTCATCGCAGGCCGAAGCCACTTTACACGGAAAAACACAAGGTTTCGTGCTCCGGCTTCCCCCCCTCATCACCACTTCTCTTCGTCACCACCTCCCTTCCTCACCACTTCCCTTCATCACCACCCTATGTCATAGCCTGTTCTTGTTTTGTGATGTGTTGTTATGTGATGTATGGTCTCACACCACCCTTCTATGTCATAGCCTATTATTGTTATGTGATGTATAGTCTCACACCACCCTTCACAGGGTGCATCGTTATGTGATGTAGAGTCTCACAGTTTTATTTGTCCGTAACACGGAAGATTGCTTCCCAACTTCCTTTGACAACTACAACTACAACTATAACTACAATACGTTACATAACACTACACTACACTGCACTACAACTACACTGCACTAATTGCATTACACTACACCACACCACACTACACTACACTCGATTACACTACACTACACTACCCTACCCTACATTACATTACATTACACTGCACTCACTACACCACAACAAATGCAACTGCGAAAACACTACACTAATTACACTACACCACAACTACAATTCCACTACACTACAACTACAGCTGCACTACACCACACTACGGGTGAGGTGACCGACCAGTTGACCGCTGCAACCATTGCAACCACCCCAAGTACACAGCTCCAACCACCTTTCGGTCCATCAGTGGATTCGCTCTGCCATCCGTGATTCACAACAACCAACCTCTCCTATAGGTTTCCTATTTTTGAAACTTCCGCCACCGCCTTGTGCGGTACTACTGGTACAATTTACAAGTATCAAATTATATCATATAATATCATATTGTGTTGAATTGTATTATATAACTTAATCTTGTTATTGTATTGTTGTTTTAATTCAAATCGTATCCATTGTTTTGTAGAACCTTGGAGTACCATAATTGTTCATCACATAAAATTGTCGGTGTTGAAATGTTTCAAAATTGCAGTATACATATATATATATAAATATATATACAAATACATATTATACACTGTAGAGATATCATAAATATTCATCTGTGTGTATTGGCCTACATGTTCTCAAATCACGTTATTACGTTGTGTAATATATGATTACAAATGCACCTGCAAGAGAATATAAAGTGCCCATGATGGGGTATATATACTTATGTATACTTGGTCACATTGATATGAGATCTGTCCATCTACCTGTCCGTGTTCCCCAGGCTGGACAGGGCGTTTGCCAGGACCGTTCGGGCAATCGTTCTGTCGAGCTACTGGACTTCGACGTTGCCCGACACGTTGCCCGACGGGATAGCCAGTCCAAGACATGATGCGATCGCATTTCCTTCCAATGAAGCCACCTCGATCTTCAACTGCAGACCTCACACCAGGCAGCATCTGGCAGCATCAGGAAACAAAGATCAAAGATCCTGCGATGCGATGCAAAAGTTTGTGGCAGAAAAAAAAATGGAAAACTGTTGCAACATGTTGCAACTCCAGCCTGTGATGACCAGCAGGACGTCGAGACACAACAAGACAATCAAAAACCAGTGCAGGGGCTTGCTGAAGAGGAATTTCACCAAACCACCACGGCAAGACTTCAGATCCACATCCACATCTGGAAACAAGTGCACCATTTCGGGAAACTCGGGAAAATGAGCCTGAAGTGGTGCACTGATGGTCACGGTGTCAGGTCGGTGCCAAGACGTTCGCTGAGTGGCGCGCTGCCACAAAGATGGCGAGACTTCTTTGCATGCAATTTGATACAATTTGATACAAATCCTACGCTTTACGTTGGGAGTTCTAACTTGCTTTGTTCGTTTCTGGAAGCCATCAGAGACCAAGCATGACAATATTGGCAAACAAAATGCAAAGATAAAATCACAAAAGGTTAAAACAGAAACACAATGCGTCCACGGAACATTTGACAGTTTGGACCCGATCATCATTAACTGTTCTCGAGCGCTTGCATCATGCAATCGCACCTTCAGGGCTGCAACACCGGCGCTGATTTTTCAGAACCCATTGTTGCGTGGTGTGCAAAAATTCTAAGCCATGATAAACCAACAAAAGACATGTACATGTTCAACATATTCCGATATGTTCAGTCATTTTGAGATTCAGATTTGCTGTGGAATGCAATGTAGCCTTCAAATCTCGCGTCTTCTCTTTTTTTGATTTTGCCGGAACTGGCACGGTGCTCATGGCAGGACTGGGCACGGGCACAATGTGCACAATATCTAGAACAGAGCTGGCTGCGCAAATGTTCCACAAATATGGCCCAAGATGAAACTGATCTTTGCATATCCTTGCTGGCGCTTCCCTGCAGTAGAAATGCCAGAAAGGTCAGAAAGGATGGCTCCTGAATCAGATGTTACTCTTCTGAATCCAACTGCGTGCCCTATCGCACACTCTTTTTTATCCCTTTTTTGGATCAGCGCAGAAGATGAAGCCAGAAGGTGACACCGCGCACCTAGGTACTGTGAGCGCTGACAAGAATCCTTGAAAGACCAAGATTGTAAGCTCAAATGTCTTGCATTTCGAACGGTTCTGGATGCGATTAGAGAGCCAAGATCCGCTTCCTGAGTGACGCATATCTGATATAGAAACTTGTGAAAATGTTTCAAGCCGTTGTTTGAGGGCAACATATATCCCGTTTCATCTTCCCTAACCTAACTTTAGTGACCCTCAATTTCTCTGTTCTCACAAGCTCCATCTTGGGCTATCCTCACCACCGACAGTGGATAGTACGAGATGGTAAAGTTGGTAAAGGTTATTGTTGGGGGCCAGTGTCAAAGATGATCGGGACAATGGGATAACCCAAGCTCAATCTCTCACCGCGGCACCAGCAGCCCAATGCCAGCAGCACCCACCGTGGCACGCAGCCACCCAGAGAACGAGGCATCCGATGTGCAGCTGGACAGCATCTGTTGCAAAGGCGAGTCTGGTTCAACAGGGCTTCATATTGGGCCCCAAAACAATGCCAGAAATTTGTTGCTACCACTTAGGTACATGCTTTATCTGTTGATCTCAAAAAATCGAAAACCACAAATCACCCAACACTCTGCAAAATGGATCAACATGGTTGTTCAATGGACCATGTATTTGGCTGAATGATTTCCAGTACATTGATGGAACCATTTCGGCCCCGCCTCATTTCATCCGTTTTCATGCCACCGTTTCCCATTTTCCAAAATTCAGCCCAGAAAATTTCAATACAAAAAATGAAGAGATTTTTCCAGGGGCTGCCAGAGGTATCGGAGGGCGTGGCACCTCAGAGAGTTTAGGAGTTTTCCCATCACATTCACGTGAAGTCCAAAGCCAGGCCCAAACCTTTCACGGGGACCGGGGACGATGTCATAACTATGTTGTGTTGGTCACTTATGGGTGGTCAGAGATGGTCAGAGAGAAATTCTTCACTCGCCATGACACAGCAGCCCTTCGGCCGTCGCAGTGCGGATCTAAAAAGTTGGCCAAAACTTCCCATCTTTTCCGATGCTGGCTATGCTGGCAGCTCTGGCATAGGCATCATATGCTGGCATCATTTTCAATTTTGGAAATCTCTCGCCAGGTGGCACAGGCGGCGGTGGCGCCGTAGAGGAAAAAACGGTGAATCGTAGATTGATTGTCTGCAGCGTGGGATGCTGCGGGTCATGGGGAACGGTCAAGCCACTTCAAAGTTCCAGCGCCACATTGAAGAGTGATGTGACAAAAAGATGCAACAAGGATCATGAGTTTGATCACAATATACTGTCTGACAATGAAAATGGACATGGAAAACACCCACTTCTTCAACATATCTTAACTTGCAACGACTGGGTGACTTTCTATTGCAAGGTCCCACCAGGATCTCGCAAGGCAAGACATGAAGAATCGACTGGCACCTTGCTGCGCTAGCCAAGTGCGCACACGGCGCAAAAGCAGCAGAAGTTGATTTGAGTCATCCTGCCGTGTGTGATGCAAGGTGAGTTGAATGTGGGGCACCTGTCCAAGAATATTCAAAAAGGGTCGGTTTACTGATTTACCCGTGATGCATGGCAATTTCATTGCGGAAAATGATGAACTATGGGATGGAATGGGATATCCTTGTTTCAGACAAACAAATCTGGGGTCCCAATGATACTCAGAAACGTGCAGGAGGCATGGCAACACATCTGAATGGGCTGAGAAAGCCCCATCTTCAATTCCTCCAAGATTGAAAATTGGGGCAATGGAACCATTAAGCTCATATTTGAATGTCTTAACATATCTTGACTCTCATTAACTATCCATCTGTGGGGTCACACAATCATGACCCATGTTTCCATTCTCGGCATCCTCCACCGAATATGCAGCCAGGCAAATCTCGCAGTGGTCGCATGCACGGGAGGCAAATCTCCACTTTTCTAAACACGTCTGGTGACACAGCGCCAAACTACCTGCCGGGCGATTCGGAAGGGGTCACCAATGTTCATCCTCACTGTGAATCCTCATTGATCTGATCCTCTCTGACCAATACCTGAAAGAACCCAAAGGAAATGTCCTAAGAAACCCTGGAAACCCTTGCTTGGGTCAATATCAACTCATGAAGTGATGGCCCATTTCTCTGATTTTCCCTGTACCACCCTATACAATCCCAACTCAGCCCTATCAAAAACAAATATACTAGTATAATGAATTGAGTATATTGAGTTTGCACAAGAGGTGCAGTGAAACTGTCCACCTTTTGAAGAGCAGTGCACATCACTGTTTGAGCCTCTGCATTCGCAGAAGACTCCAAGATCATCCTTCTGACCCTTCTCTTGGCATATCCGACACACGCCATCCTGCGACCACCGATTCACCAGGCCTACCCAAAAAACCTCTTGTCACAAGTAGGAACGGCCTGTTTCTGAGCCGAGATGGGCAAACGAACAAAATTGTTCTCATTTAGGCAGTGTCTAAAAACCAAACGCAGATCTGCGCCAAATCGTGATGTTATTTTCAATGGCAGTTTTCGTGTCCATGTCGACACTTGCAATCTCCTCGTCAGCTGCTGTTTGTAGCTCTTTAGACATCTCACGCCGCCGTAATGGTGGTAGCAACGAGAACGTCCATGGGTAACGCCGAGGGGTGATACGAGGAATCCTTGGGGTTGGCGGCACAAAGCTTGGAAATCTGAAAAAACATAAAGTACGCTTAACAAATGTCCGCCGACCCCGGCCGGCAGCAAGGGGGATGGCGCCAGGGAAAAGGATGCTTCCTCCACTAGCAGCAACAACGATCACCACAACAACAACAACAACAACAAGAACAAGAACAAGAACAAGAACAACAAGAAGAAGAACAACAACAACTACTACTACCACCACCACAGCTACAACTACAATTGCAGCTACACTACGTTACACTACAATACACGAATTTAACTGCAGTACATTACAGCTACAAATACAAATGCAAATACAACTACAACTACACTACTTTACACTACAATACACTAGACTACATTACACGATACCACGCTACGGTACACAACACTACAGTACACTTCAATACACTACAAACAAAAAAACACCACACCACAACTACAACTGCAACTTCAACTACACTACTCTAGTTACACTACATTACAACTACAACTTACAACTACAACTCCACTACACTACAACTAGAACTACACCTACAACTACAACTACAACTGCACTACACCACACTACATCCAGCAGCTGTGGTGAGATGACCACTGCAACCATTGCAACCACTCCAAATACACAACTCCAACCACCTTTCGCTCCATCAGTGAGAGAGATTGATAGGCTGCAGCCTTACGCGGGCCAGCAGCCAGACTGCCGCAAAGAGCTCAGTCCTCAGTCATCAGGGGGGGGGCCCCCCCCCCGCCCCCAGCACGGTGGCGGGTTTTTTCCCTATAGTCACACTCAAGTGCACGAATCTGCACCATCTGGTGAATCATGGTGAGAGAGCCTACAGAATGACTCCATCCAAGTCGTTGCATAACCGGACACTCCGGCGGACCAACTGTTCGCAGGGCCTCAAAGGCCTTACATTCCCAGAGCACGTGAAAGATGCTAGGGACTTTGGGTTCTTTGCAAAGACTACAAACATGAACAACCGGAGACCGATCAAACTGACAAGTGACCGCTTCCGTCAGCATGCCACCGCACAAGATGGCGACGGTGTGACCGTCAGCTTTTTGGGCAATCTTACGGACCTTATCCAAAATTTTGGGGGTAAAATTAATACCATGTTCCCTGGCCAGCGTCGCGTCCCGTCTCTTCGAACGCTTCCAAGCGTCAATTTCCGCCATGCGCCAGGACGTTCTGACATGATGCAGGGTCTGTTGAAGAGTAGTCTCATCGCTAGAAACATTCCAGTGACACACATCGGGCAATGTCACCGAGTCGCTGCGAACCGTCCAACCAAGAGGCTCAAGGAAGGTGGTTAAGGCACTAACATGCCTTTCAGTCCAAGACACACCAAGTTGCAGCTTAGCCCAAGAAGCCCTAGCTCTGAAGAAAGCCTGAATGCCAAGAAGCGTGATGTTGCAAGGATGGCCAAGAAACAAAGCCCGACGCAAGGCAGGCGATGCTCTGCCCCCCGGGTACTTCGGTGACTTAGTGGCCTGGTCAAAAGCCTTAGCAAAGCATTCGGTCTCAGCTTTGGTGGGACTGCGTCCATTAACCACATGCCCCCAAGAAGCTTTAGTACTGGCGGTGGCCTGGGCCACTGCTCGTTTAAGTTGGGCACTCCCAGGTAATATAGCAATGCGACGGCACAGGGCCGTGCTTTCCTGCATCCTGTCCACTTCCTCCGGGGAAGGTTTCCTATTCACAGGACCAATAGTACATCCCAAAACATGCAAATAGTCCTTAGTGGAATAGCCAGCTTGCCTACGTTGCTGAGCGGCTTGTTCAGTCCTGGTCCAAATCTGTGTTTTAGAGGTGTTTGTGCGAAGACGAGTCAACCGCTCAAAGACCGTGACCCACTGTGCCTGAAACGTATCAAGACCCTCCAGCGTTCGGAAGAGCGCAGACCTGTCATCCATGTAACAAATGCAATGTGTTCCAGGCAGTTCAGAGGCCTTTCGCAGCGGCCCCGCCAAGAGGCAAGCTAAGGTGAGGGGCCCGAAAGGGTCCCCTTGAAGTATTGCTTTGCAACCAAGAAGCGGTTCCGGGTGCACATGACCACCCAGTGAGATCCAACGGCGCTGATGCCGCCACATGTCACCGAGGCAAGCAACCACTTTAGATGGGAGCCCAATTCTGCCAAGCAACGGGACAGCAGTTTCCCAGTCAATGCTGTCGAAAGCCTTGGCGAAATCCCAAGAGGCGGCTATAGGGAAATCTTCCCTTTCCATAGTTTCCTGAAAATTGAGCAAGAGCGTATGGGCATTGTGACCGGCCAGCCCCCCAACTTGGAACTCAGTGAGCACAGGGCCCAATTGAGTAGTAGCTTGACTGTAGCGGAGCTTAGCCCAACTTCGAAAAATAACACTGCCTATAGCAATAGGTCTAGTTTTCAAAGCGTTGGTACAGAAGGTGGAATCCTTTTGTTTGGGTAAAAAACTGATGCGCCAATGGTGCAACTGAGAAGGCCATTGGCCCTGAGCCTCGATCCGGTTAAGGACTTGAATCAGTCTTTCCAAACACAGAGTCGGCATCTCGAGGAGCAGTTCAGCACTCCAGCCATCCGTCCCGGCTGCTTTGTGCTTCATAGTTTTCAGAACCTTAATAAGGTCATCGGAATTGAGATCCGGGACAGTGACCGGTTCAAAAGTAGGCAACCAAGGGCCGTATGTTTCCAAGAACTGCGCAACCTGTGGAACATAGTCACAGTCCCCATTGAAGACAGGCTTCCAGGCTTGGTGCAACAAGGCCGCACCCCCACTCCGACCCGTGGAGACCCGGCCCTCGTGTTCAAGAGTCCAGGCCGGAGGACCGTGTTTTTTGACCCACTTGCAGGCACCTGACATAGTGGAGACCCGTTGACGCCAAGAGGCCAGAGCATCCTTCTGGGCCTGGTTGAGGTGAATGTCAAGAAGATCTTTGGTGTGTGTTCGGAGCCTACCCCAATCCATCAAACCAATAGGCTCAGCCTGACCAAGGCATCGGCACATGTGTTTGACTTTCCTAACAAGCCTGACATCCGGCCTTTTCCCATGTTGGAGCTGAGCCAGAATTTCATGAATACGGCGTAGGTGCCGCCTCAACTGTCTTTCCCGAATGGATTGCCCTGATCCAAGATTCGAGGGTGCTGACCACAATTTGGGTTGGGAGCCACGGTGTTGGTAATGTGTTCCTTTGGCCAAGATGCCTGAAAGTTGCAGAAACTTCTCAGTGTCTGCACTCCACTGTGCCCAGAGGTTATCGATGGAGGCGTGTTGGCAAAGCTCTTGCCATACCTCCGTGTGGCAAGCACATCGTTCCCAGTTCGCTGGCACGTCACTTTGAACCTGGGTATCTTCAGCGCCTGGACAAGAAATAGGAGCATGAGGACGAAACATCCAGTTAGGGGGGCTAGGCAGTAAGTCGACTTTGTCAACATGAATCAAGGATCCGTCATGGTCGGAGATTTGCGGCATATGCCGGATCTTTTCCGCAACCAAACTCTCGGAGACCCAGACAGTGTCGATGTCTTGAGTGCTGCTTTGGTGACCTGACCCACCCAGGTACCTACCACCAACCAGGTTCATGATATCAGTAAGGGCATTAGAGCCTTGGGGCATGTTCCAATCCAAACAAGTGATCCAATGTTTGTGCTGCACTTTGGTAAAGGTTTCAGCCAGGGCCGTGGGGGCTTCCTCAACCGTAGGAGACGGATTTCTGTAACCACAAATAATGGAAAAAGGAATACGGCAACCCAAGACCTCACAAACCAAGATTTGGCCCCAAGAAGAACTGTGAGCCAAAACTTGGGTGAGAGCGAGAGGCTCCCTGGACAAAACCAGAACCCCTCCGTGAGTTGCAGCCACAGAGACCGGTATCGCCACACATTGCCACCCCTTCCTGTGACAAGTATTGCAGAAGGAAGGAATGCTGTTATAACTCAGCCTACTTTCCTGGATGCAGACCAGCTGCGCGGCTTGCTCATTAGCAACCCTGAGAACCTCATCCAAGTGTTTTTGAATGGAATTGATATTATAAGTGAGGACTCGGATGCTCTCCGGCCCCGGGTGGGAGGCCTCTCCGATCCTTTCACCTCGGTGACCTCTGCCGGTGGCAGTGCTTCCATCGGCCTTTTTGGACAGAGCTCGGGTGGCCTCTTGGCGACAGCGACCCCACAACAACTTACGCTTCTTGAGGGCTGTAGGCCTACCTGAAAACTGTGGGCAAATCACAGCAGGAACTCGGTTTCTTTGAACTGGCAAACCACAGGTGTTGCACTTATGGTAAATGTTGACCTCTTGCTTGCCAGTCTTGGACTGATAAGGTCGAACAAAGCAAACGTCTTGTTGGATGTCATGGGCACCCTTCCATTTATGTTTCTGAAACTGCTGATACTGCAGCGCCCATCTTTTGTCGAAATATTCTTGGCAGAACAAGACCCGATGGGGGGCGGTCAAAGGGTTACCCGTAGGCAGCTTCTCAGCTTTCACCCCATGAAGTCGAAACAAGTGGGACTGACGTTTGGTAGTTCTGGTGGAGCCAGGGTCACTGACCAGAATCTTATAATCACACCAAGGGCACTTCCACCAGACCGTATCTAGCGCAACAGGGGCACAAGGAATGCCTTTGAGTCTGCTACGGGTTTCTTTATGTCGCAAGTTATTATGCTGCCAAAGTTGCTGCTTTCGGAGGGCCGTGTCCCGGACAGCTTCCTTTCTCTGAGCCAAACGCTCCTTTTGCGCCAAAGTTTACTGCGTTGTGCACGAGTCAGGGGCTGCTTGTTTGGAACCACATCGGCACTGCACTGAGAGCCATAAACACTTTTTTTGGATCTGCTGTTGGCAAGCTTGACACTTGAAAGGAAACCCGGAGCCGGTAGCAGAAAGAGTTCCAGGGTGCCTGTGCATCCCAATGCTTTTATGTTTAACTAAAAGAGGCAACACATATTTCCAGGTCAATTTCTTTCTGTTGGCCTGAGCCTCTCTGACCACGTCCGAACTATCGGCCCTGGGAATATCAGCAACAGGAACTTTGTGTGTATTCCGCAAATGTGTCCATTTGCGACTGGTATGATGGTGACTTCCAGGAGTACGCCACACTTCGTATTTGCAGCCGGGGAACGTACAGGTCCACCATAAAACTTGGTTACCGGCAGAGCCGGTCCCATGTGCAGGAGGTACCTCATCCAGAACCTCAGCCTTTCTTTTCTTTGAAGAGTTGTTACCAACACGGCCACCCTGACCGAAATCGGACCCCTGAGATTTGCAAATACCCAAACTGGTTTCGCTCCCCGGGGGGAGGCTAAGGGATGAACCATCCTGAACACTCTTCACACAAATTCGAGACCGTTTGCGGGCACTCCCCGCAGCGGTGCCGATCTCGGACCCAATCTGTGAATAATCTAACCTAACCTTCTGACTCAGTGTAGAACTAGAAGGCAACGACAAAGCAAAACCAGTGTCTTTGTTAGCTGACTTCCGACAGTTAGTGTCCCGTGACTTTTTCAGGGTACGGAACCTGCGTGAAGGAGACATGGAAGGCAAGTTGAGACGGGAAGGCGCCTGGGAACCTGACTTTTTGGAAGCATTGTGGGAAGGACGGGATGAAGGGAGACTCAACGCGGACCGACCGGGGACAGACGGAGCACTACTGCATGCCAGGAAGACTAAGCCGACTGACAACTGACTTGGAGCCTCCACCACGGAAAAACTTTCTGTCCTTAGTGTCTGTCTGTTGTAACCAAGCAGCTGGCACCTCAGTGGTATTCTTGATCGGGCACAATGCACGATAATAGTGTTTCTGGCTTTGCATGAGAATCATAGGTCTGAGACTCTTTTTTCCAACTTCAGCCGATCCTTCAATGAATCGATTCGCCACCACGGTGCGTTCCCAAACCTTCCTTTCTGAACTCCAGGCAAACACAATGATGGGAGTGGCCAATCTAGCAGCTAAGGCCGTAAGCAACAAATCATCAGCGTAATAGCCCCTATTGCTAGCGGCCAAAATATAGTCCGCAAAATCCTGAGGCACATTTTGAAAATTGCGCAATTGCGCTTCTTCATCTGGATCTTGGGCCCAGAATGGTTCAAAGTAACTTCTGTTGGAAGTCATGTGGCCTGTGGCAAGCAACCTAAGGCGGCTGGCTTCACGGGTTCGAGCCTCAGTGTTCAAGGTTTTCCCTTGGGACACGGCAATACAGTGAGCAGCACTTTGGAAGGCGCAGTCGCCTGCGCCTCCGTTGTCAACGAATTCCCAATCAGGGTTCTGAGCAAGAAAGACTTTGTCAGGGTCGAGAACTTTTTCAGTTTTTTGACGGCGAGGAGACCTTTGCTTGTTATCGGACGGCTGTGTTGCCGGGTCATCCATGGTGAGATCATCCAGCTGGGTGGCAGCTACTTTGGCGACTGCAGGTTTGTCAAACCAACGCTTTCGGGGTCCAGGGACCTGTTCAACAGAAACCACTTTGCGTGCCCTTGGCCTGATGGGGGCTATGGTCAAATGCAAAGTCTGATCCTGGTTGGTATAATACCAAAAATCATTTTCACGGTTCTCCTGAGCAGGGGCTGCCTTGGCTTTAAACAACCAAACCTGCTGAGCACTTCTCCGGATTTTGTTGAGCACTTCAGTTTGCGCCCAATTGTTTGCTTCAAGAAATTCAGACACTTCCTGATTTGTCCAATGACGTGGACAGCCGTGGAACTCCCACGTTCTCACCAAGTTGGCCGAAACCTCTCGTTGTGACATTCCGACTATGCCTAAGTCGCTGCCCCCACCCTGCCTGAGCACTAAAGGCATTTTTGCAGCCTGAGCGCGAGTGAGAGATTGACGGAAGTAGGCCTCAGTTTCTTGTTTGGCCCGCGGAAGCCAAGCGACTTCTTTCTGATTCGTTTGGTTCAGGACAGCAACAAAAAGGGCCTGAGTTCCAGAAACTTTAGCCAGCCTCTGAGCAAGCTCCTCAGTCACTTTCAAGTGTCCTATAAGAATCCTACCGTGCGGGTGGGTGGCAACTTCCCACCGACCACCTGTGAGCAATGAGGCTTGGCACCCTACAGTGGACGCTAAACACCCAATAACCGTGGCAGGGTCATCTTCTTTGGACACACCAGGGACATGTTTACGATAAAAAGCCGGGGCAAGAAATCGAACAGTGACCATCTTGGAACCCTGGGTTTGGGAATATTGGTGACCACAGCAGTGATGGGAACTGGGCCTGGGCTGGTACCAATTTGGCTGAGTTGGAGCTGGACCCTGTTTGGAGGTCCAGACGCATTCTTTCCCGGTTCCTTCCACCAAACAGAGACGCTGGCGGAGGAAGAGGGTTTGTTGTTGATTGTTGCAATCGTCAGTTTCTGAGTTTTGCAGTCAAAGGCAGCCCAGAGATTTTTGGCCTGAGCAACGATCTGCGGATCGGCAGTAATGATCAAATTTCCTGAAGGCTCTTCTCCTTGCGTCAGAGCCTGCTCAAGTTTGGGCAAGGTGGTTAGGCTAGGTTCACCTGACCACTCAGTAGGGTTGATTTTCACAGCAAATCGAGGACCTCGCACTGGCTCATGACCTGTGCCCTTCTGCTTGCCCTTGCCCTTGGCCTTGCTGGAGACCTGGGGTGGCGGTTTGGGCCTCACTTTGTCGGCCCAAGTTGCTTGCTGCGGCGGTGACAAGGTGGCTACGGCTTCTTTGACCTTAGCCTGCAATTCAGTGTCACTGCCAAGGAGACTTTTGATCGCATTGACCGGCATTTCCAAAAGCATGCCAGTGACTTTGCCAGCATGTTGCGGAGTCAGTGGTTGAACTTTCACAAACAGCTTTTCCCCCAAGAGCCTCTTAGTCTTGGAGAGATTGGGAGCAGCGTCATTTGGTGTCTTCTTTTCTGGTTCGATGCTACCAGCTGGGGCATGCCTAGTGATCTTGTTAACAAGACGTTGGGCTACCATCTCGTCTGTCCATTTATGTGTAATTGCAGCCCGAAGTGTCTGTAACAGGATTCGTGCAAGTCGGGACTCACCACTTGGAACAGGCGCAGGTCCTCCTTTGCCTTTCTTGTTTGCAGGAGGACCTGCAGCAGAAGATCCCATGTCAGCTTGACCTCGATGAGTTTGGAGCACCTGCAAAATGACTTGAGCCAAACTGCTGTCAGCGTCATGTGTCCAAGCTTCATCACCGGTGGCCTTGCGTTTTTTGTCACCTGGTCCTGGGTGACTGGCTTCGCCGACACGTATACCTAAATAGCCACAAATCCACTGACTGATCCGAGGGCATCTATTCAAGTGTTTGCTAGGCTGACTCTGTGGAAGAGAGTGACGGGTTCTAGCCCATCTGGCTCTTCTAAGATTAGTCAGCAACAATCTGCGTTTGTGTTGTCCAAGGTGCTTATACCTACGGTTAAGGACACGAAATCGTCTTCCATCAACCTTTTTGCAGACCCCTACAAGTCTACGTTTTTTCAGCTGCAGGGTGCCCAACGGGCAAAGGTAATTAAATGCAGCCAAGTTGCCGTCACTCACGTCATCCTCCCCAAAATTCCCAAAACGTTTAGGGGGATGTGAGGGGTGACCGGCAGCAGTGCAGAAGCAAAAGCACAGCATCAGCAAGAGCAGTGGGTAAGAAAGGGGTTGGGGTCGGGTGGAGTGCCCTCTCCTCTGGCCCATTTCACACTCTCTCAAGTCATTTTCATTGTTTTTGTAGGGCATCTTGGCAGCCAAATGGCTACTTCTTTTCTGGGTCTTTGTTCCCTCTTGGGATGTCTCTATACTCGTTTGTTCCACACAGGTGGACTGAACCTGCATGGATCGCCAGCACCTCGAGGAGGTAGTACACGACTGGCTTCGCTCCATCAGTGGATTCGCTCTGCCATCCGTGAGTCACCCCTGCCTATAGGTTTCCTGTTTTTGAAACTTCAGCCACCGCCTTGTGCGGTACTACTGGTAATTTACAATATGCTTGTGCCTGTGGCATACTTCTTGCAACATGCTGAAAACTGCGTAAATACATGTGTTTTTGCTAGGCACTAGCCAAAAAAACACTGTAAATACCGTGCTTTTTGCTACCAGCGGCAAAAAACATCATAAATACTGTGGTTTGGGGCTTCCGAGGCAAACAACATCGACATTTACGGTGTCTTTTGCTTGGAGAGTCTCAAAAAATCTCAAAAATATGCGAAACACCGCCTATTTGACGATTTTTAGAGGTCCACAAAAATGCGAAAATAATATGTGTTGCAGGGAGAAGAAGAAGAAGAAGAACAGCAACAGCAACAGCAACAACAACAACAACAGCAACAACAGCAACAGCAACAACAGCAACAACAGCAACAAAAGCAACAAAAGCAAGAAGAAGAACAAGCACACAAATGCAACAAAAAGATATGTGCTAAGATGGTTACAAGCTGTGGTATGAAAAGAACATCGCACTGTGCTCTGCACCTGTATGCACGTGCAGAGCACATGAACTATACATAAACCTTATTTCATCGCCGGTGCGCGAAGCTCTACGATAAGAGTAAAGGCAACAGTGAATTCCTGAATTCCCGTCCCTTCCCTTTCCTTCCCTTTCCTCTCTTGTTTTGGAATCAACTTTGCAATCACAAGATCTTAGAAACTGTGAAGAGTTGCTCCAGGAGGTGTTTGACTTTCAGGACGCGAATATGTTCAGCTTCAGCAAAATTCATGCTTTCACCTTTCGCAAAACAGGAGGAACATGTTCAGTTTCATACGGTTGGAGTTTTAACACGGAGCCGTCCAAGACACAAGAAAAAGTAGACTATGATGAAGGTGGCACTAAGCATAGTACCAAGTAGGCCATAGACTTTCGCAATGAACTCCTTTTCGATGGCAGGTTGGAGGATTGCAATGTTTCTGAATGCACGGAAATGAAACACCCAGAAAAGTTAATAAGTCGAGATGATACCTCACACAACAACCTTGGGCTACCTTCAATTGTGTCTGTCTTTTGCCCCTCGCTGAACAAGATAAGGGTTTGCATCGTCCATTCCACCTGCTCAGAACCGTTCATCTTGACACGGCAAAATCCTCTGGTTGGCTCATTTTGGATGGAAACATCAATGCCTTGCAAACATAAAGCAAAATGTCATTAACCTCTAGGATTCCAAGGCAACCCACATCCAATAGGGGTCCCAAAGGAACAGCAGCCAATCACTGGGAAACCATCGGTTGCTTTCCGACATCTTTTGTTTTTTTCCATGCCGACATCCAACATCCAACATACAACTGCGCCAACCATGGAACTGGAAATGTGACTGGTTTCCCAAGGCTCGAGTCGTTCAGGCGACATGTCTCGCGGTCCCAACTCCATGGCAGGCACGACTGCACTTTTCTTATGCCATATTGGTTTCAACTGAGTCGTAAGAAATTCAGCTGGAAGTCATGAGTCTGAAATCTACAGTTTGTAGATGTTTGCAAACATGTTTTGTGTGCAACATAGGATGTTCATGGATTGTTTCTGGGTTTCCACTTCCAAGTTAGTTTGCCAGAGAATACATCCTGTGAGCTTTGTCAGAATGAACTTTATGACTTTATGATGAGAAAAGGAAGAATGGATCATGGATCCTGAGCTTTTTGACTTACCTGACTTGCTGGTCACAACATCCCGCGGTCCCAGTGAGAGGCACAACTTTGGTGCTGGATGAAAAGGCTACTTGACTCATCTTGACTCCTGCTGGATATCTTTGGGAAACTCTTGCCATGTGTTGCTTCAACCAGCTATCACTGCATACCACTGCACTACAGTAGATGGACAAAAATTGACAAAATATTCAAACCCTGCAACAACACTATGCTGAACCCCCGCACCATCCCGCACCCCCAAATCTCAATGTTTCAGCGCGCGTGTTAACAAAAGTTATGTTAGGGGTTTGATTTCTTTCGTACATTCGGGCTAACGCACTTCAGATTACATTAACATTGAACTTTGGAGGCGAGGGGGTTGTATCGGACACAAGGGTTTTGAATATGTCGTCCATCTACGGTAGTTCCAATCCTACAAATGGTCATAGCAATGTCTTCCGCCCGTCTTAGACCCTGTGTTTTTGAACTTGTGTTGTTCTGTTTCCGCGCATCGGTCAAAATTGGGAATTCAATAGAGACACAAAATGACACAACCCATCGATTCTGATATTCTAGTAATGTGTCATATTGTGTCATGTACAAACAAAAATACTCCTCAAATCTCCTCAATATCAACGAGTATCAACCCATCCATTCTGGTCGAAATCACCCGTTCATACCCGTTCCGCCTCCTGGATGAACTCTAATCTGCCCTGCCGTTGAGTCTCCAAAATGCGGTGAACACGAGCAAAGCTGAACCTGTCGGCAACAGTTGGCATCCCATGGCACCAAGGTCATGAATGCATGAGCTGCGATGCTTTGCAGGAAAACCTGGCAGTTTAAAGCAGAGGATCCCTGATGGTTATTGCCAATCATTTGCCGCATTTCAAATTAAGGCATTAAACGAAGAGCGCTATCGGATGATGGCATTCTAATCTAAAAAGTTTCGATCCAGGGAATTCTTGTACAAAATTCCCTGGAATGGACTACGGTCCGCGTACTATTGAAGTGAGTGAACACAAGAAATTGCTAACATCACTGACTTCTGATCCAAACTTGTGGGTAGGTTTTGGCTCACACTATTGATTGACCGGGAGGAAATATCAATAATCTCAATCCCAGATCATGATGCTTGGTCGATTTAACAGGGAGATCTCTTGAAATGGCAACCCTTCATCAAACAGCCCAGATGTCAGATGGATGAAACTGGCAAAAGATGTGTAAAATTGTGTAAACATGTTCAAACCAGTTCAAACCAGCTCAAACCAAATCAAACCAGTTCAAACCAGTTCAAATCAGATCAAACCAGAGTTCAAACCAGTTCAAACCAGTTCAAACCAGTTCAAACCAAATCAAACCAGTTCAAACCAGTTCAAACCAGTTCAAACCAGTTCAAACCAGTTCAAACCAGTTCCAACCAGTTCGAAACAGTTCGAAACAGTTCGAAACAGCTCGAAACAGCTCCAAACAGCTCCAAACAGCTCGAAACACTTCGAACACTTCAAAACAGTTCCAAACACTTCGAAACACGTCCAAACACTTCCAAACACTTCCAAACACTTCCAAGCACTTCGAAACACTTCCAAACACTTCCAAACACTTGCAAACACTTCCAAACGCTTCCAAACACTTCCAAACACTTCAAAACACTTCAAAACACTTCCAAACACTTCCAAACACTTCAAAACACTTCAAAACACTTCCAAACACTTCCAAACACTTCCAAACACTTCGAAACACGTCCAAACACTTCCAAACACTTCCAAACACTTCCAAACACTTCAAAACACTTCCAAACACTTCCAAACACTTGCAAACACTTCCAAACGCTTCCAAACACTTCCAAACACTTCAAAACACTTCAAAACACTTCCAAACACTTCCAAACACTTCAAAACACTTCCAAACACTTCAAACACGTCAAACACTTCAAACACTTCCAAACACTTCAAAACACTTCCAAACACTTCAAAACACTTCAAACACTTCAAAACACTTCAGAACACTTCCAAACACTTCCAAACACTTCCAAACACTTCCAAACACTTCCAAACACTTCAAAACACTTCAAAACACTTCAAAACACTTCCAAACACTTCAAAACACTTCAAAGCACTTCCAAACACTTCAAAACACTTCGAAACACTTCAAAACACTTCAAAACACTTCCAAACACTTGCAAACACTTCCAAACACTTCCAAACACTTCCAAACACTTCAAAACACTTCCAAACACTTCCAAACACTTCAAAACACTTCAAAACATCAGTCGCACCTGCGACCGACCTCCATCATATCCAGGTGCAAGAATTCACCCAGGTCTGGGGCCTGGACATGTTCAATGAAGAACCTTTGAACAGGGATTTCACTTGTGAAACTCAAAACAAAACAAGTTTTTTTGTCAACAAAAAATCGGATTTCATCAGAAACAAAGTCAGATATGTTGAACCCAAAAGATGATATGGTGTCTGGAAGATGATTTTCGGATCTGAAAATTGCAAGTTTTGAGCTGGAAGTTTTCAGGGGTCTGAAACGAAAAGAGTTCGGAAGTCGACTGATCTCTCACAATGCGGGCCGCATCTCAAGGCAAGTCAATTGCGCTCCCATTCCCCCCAGTGGATGCTGATTAAACAGCGCCTGGGCATCGCTGGGTAGCAGCCCCATTTCTTTGAACAACCGAAAAACAGAGTCCTTCATGCCACGGCACCATGATATCAGTGTTGCCAAATGGGTGTCAAAACCTGATTGTGGGTGACTCATCCCCGGGCTTTGGTGAGTTTACCAAAGGAAGTTTAGAAGTCAAACTTCCGACAATATGGGCAGATGAAAAGCAGAGATGGGAAGAGTCAGAGAAGAGAAGAAAAGAAGAAAGAAGATCAAAAAAGAGAAAGTCTCAGAAGAAAGAAAGCCCAGGTGCGCGAAAAGGTAGGAAAGTCGCAAAACACTGTGTTTTTCCAATGATTTGTGACTCCGGAGGGTCGAAAAGTAAGCTCGCTAAAGCGGCGGGTGCGGAGCCAGCTGGCCAGATGAGAGATGAAAAATGACGCGCAGTTGTGGCGCGAAGCACATTTCGATGTCAAAATGTACAAAACACCTCAGCTTCGGACCACTTTTAGAAAGTTGCGATGTTGAAAAAGTGCACGCCGTTGTGGCGCGAAGCACATTTCGAAGTCAAAAGTGTTAAAAACTAACGGGTTCGGAGCACTTTTGGACGCTCAGATGTCATTTTGGATGGCAGGCGCAAGGGATTATGCACCTTGTCAAAAGTGAGCAAAATGTGAAGGTTTTGTGGCATTTCCTAAAACTATGGCAGGCATGGGGCATATGCAGAGGATCTGGCAAGATGTCTTTCGCGTGGCAGGCGCAGTACAAGAGGCATGTTCATCAGAGATGTTAGGAGGTCCGGACGCTGATTTCCTGAGAGGGGCTGCATTTTGGAGCATCAGATCTTCAGTTTTGGGAAGATGATTTTGCGTGACAGGTGCAGCACTTCGTATGACCTGGCCCCACTTTTTCGTGGCAGGCGCAATACTTTCGACAGGTGGAGTGGAAAAATCGCAAAACGCATTGGTACGAGGCCATCAGCTCTGCACTGAACTTTCCATTTTTGTTGGAAGTCTCGCAGAATTGTTTCATTTTTGAAATTGTCAACTCCGAAAATTGAGGAAGTCTCGCAGAATTGTTTCGTTTTTGATGTTGTCAAGTTCAAAAATTAAAGAAGTCTCACTGAGGAAGTCTCGCAGAATAGCTTCGCTTTCAAGCTTGCAGACAGACAGACAGACAGACAGACAGATAGATAGATAGATAGACAGCTACAACTGCAACTACAACTACAAGTACCACTACACTACACTATTTCTACATCTACCAGTACACATGTACTACGCTACATTACACAACAGTAATTACACTACACTACACTACACTGCACTGCACTACACTACACTACACTAATTACATTACACTACACTACAACTGCAACTACCACTACATTGCACTACACGGCACTACACTACAACTACAACTACACTACTTTACACGACAATACACTAGACTACACTACACGATACCACGCTACAGTACACAACTCTACAGCACACTGCAATACAATACACTAATTACACCACACCACAACTACAACTGCAACTGCAACTACACTACACTAATTACACTACATTACAACTACAACTTCCAACTACAACTCCACTACACTACAACTACAACTACAACTGCACTACACCACACTACATCCAGCAGTTGTGGTGAGGTGACCACCGCAACCATTGCAACCTCTCCAGAAAACACAACTCCAACCACCTTTCGGTCCATCAGTGGATTCACTCTGCCATCCGTGGGTCACAACAACCAACCCTTCCTATAGGTTTCCTATTTTGAAACTTCCGGCACCGCCTTGTGCGGTACTACTGGTATATGCTGGGGATGTGCCAAATCCAATTAAAAACCATGGCTTTCACATCAAAATGTGGCTGCTTGCCATGGATATAGATTCCAACATTCAGATATAATATCATATCCCTAACAGTCAGTTCCTTCAAATTTTGAAACAAAAACCACAGTTGCCATGGAAATACAGCGAAGGCACACCACACCCGCAGCTCCTCACCGATAACCTCGGTCTCATCTGTCCTGATCGATGGAGATTGGTGGATTAATTGTCGACTCTCAATTCTCAGTTCTGAAACGCTCGTTTTAACATGCTTTAACCATTGCAAAACGTGCCACAATCGA